AACCAAATAAATTGATAGGGACATAAAAAGACAGGATCAGGGGGTTTTCACCAAATTGGTTTCCTCCTTTGTAAATAATGCAGATAGTCACCTGCATGGACCCATAGGGTGCCTGATCGGGTTAACTGAAATCAAATTCAAAATTCAAACTACCTTATTTGGTTTTCGTAATCAATTCGCACCTTCGCATATTTGTAACTTCGATAATTTTTCTTCGTCGAAACCGACTCGACCTCTGCAGCTTAACAGCTTCGAAAATCTGCCAATAAGTAGATTCATAACAATAGGTAATATAAGGGAGACGTCTCAGATAGATAATATCACCGGGTAGGAGTTATGATATACAAGTAACTCTAGTAAGTAGGTAGTCTCCAACAAGTAATTATGATACGAGAACGTCGTATGCCCAATCCTATCAGCAGTAAAGCGACTAGTTATACTCTAGGTAAGAGTGAACTAGATGTTCCTCCCAAATCATACGACAGCTCAACTTTACATGAGATAAACCCTGAACTCAACCTTTGTGGTAATCAACCCACTACTTGGCCCACCAACACATATACTAGGCACTAAGACTAGTATTTGGCAGGGGATAATGTTGATCTAGATGTATTCCCTAACAGATAAGTCCTTTGAGCGACCTAAATATTGAAGCCTTTGTTGCTTCAAGAATATTTCAATCGGAAGGGTGGCCGTTTCGTATTCCAGCACTCTCATGCTGGTGGACCTGTATGCTCCAGTGACGACTTTCAGGCGACTCCTCTATATTCTTCTGAGAGATCTAACTATCCTCTCTGGTATTTTTCCACCTGGCCCGACCTCGGCCCAAACAGGTGACCCGTATGTTAGTGCCGGTCTCACAATCGTGCTATATAGTTTCTTTGACTTGTGAAATGTGGCTCCCCATGTTGATTGAACAAGCCTACTGAGACCCTGAACCTGCTTCTCTGCCTTCAGTTGAAGGCTCTTGATGTGAGCTCCCCAGCTCAGCATGGGATCAAAGTAGATTCCGAGAACTCGTAGGGAAGGCTATGGGACTGAGGTATAGCCTTGGATTTCAATTTTCGCTTTGAGGTTGTGTCGTTTCCTGGCTCGGAAGAAGTGCATCAGCTGATACTTTTCAGGCGCGAATCTGATCCCATGTCTTCTTGTCCACTGTTCACATATTTGGTGTTTTTCCTACAACTTTTGGCAGTTTTCTGCGGTCGAGTTTGACCACAACAAGATGTTTGTGTTATCTACAAATCCAACTGCTGTTTTTGTTCTAGTCTTGAGCATCCGGAGAAGAATTCTAACAAAAAAGAGAAAGAGTATTGGCGAGAGAGCTGAGCCTTGCGGTATCCCGCTGCTGGTAGACATTCGGTCGCCTTTGAATAATCCCAACACTATTGATGTTATTCTTTCTTCGGGGAGGGACTTTATGTATAGACTCATCCAATTTGGAATTCTTTTTTCCCTAAGATTATGAACGCGTCGTTCGTGTGACACATTATCAAAGGCCCCAGATATATCCAAGCTGAGGAGAGATGCCACCCTCTTTTTATCTTTGCCCCAGATTGTGTGTATCTGTTCTGTCAGTAGCTCGGCTGCAGAAATTGTAGATCTCTACGGTCGAGCTTCCATCTGTTTGTTGGGGGGGGGAGTTTTGTTTTTCTACTGCTTTGGAAAGGCGAATTGCTACCAGCTTTTCAAGGATTTTACCCATAGTGTTGAGGAGCGCAATTGGTGTATAAGCCTTTGGAGTATCGTATCTAGGCTCTTGAGGCTTCCTCATAACAATAGTGGTTGATTCTTTATACACTTTTAGATGATAGCCTATTGTGAGGCAAGCATTGAAAAGGATAGTGAGTAATTGACTTAAAGTTTCCTACATTGCTATTGTAATTGTTGTAACGGCTTGTGAGCCGACAAGTCCTGTAGCCTTCGATGGCTATCGAAGGCAACCTATATTACCTATCACTTCGAGGATTATCAGCAGACGAAAACTAATACGAAATCGCTCCTGAGGCTGCGTAAAGGATAAAGCCACCATAACTTTGCAGTGGTACCTGCAAATGAAATCCGAGGCATGAATGCTCCTCTTATAAATTGAGTCATCTTCTCTGTACTTTTCTTTGATATTGTGTCATAGCTAGATAGCTGCATACGCAATTAAAATCAGATGCAAAAAAAAAAAACTCGACTATTCTTCCATTGATAGAATTTCTTCCTAAATACTATCTTTTCCTTATTTATATACGTGTACTTGATTTATATCAATGATGCAATAAGATCTAATCATATAGTATGGAATATTCTATATTATTCCAGTAAACTTTAGTTATACGTTGCTGATATCTGATTGGTAGATTCAGGCACATAACACCAACAGCAATAGACCGGGAAAGCTGCCCGAGCCGCGTCATTCATCCTGTATTGGACTTGGGAGATGGTTTTTCAAAATGTGTCTTTAGAGTCCCAGGTGTCGGCTCCGTTTATAGGGTTGCAAAGGCAGCATCTTGTAGAGCTTGTCTTATAAAGATAAGGCTAGTTCCGCGAGTGGTCTTTGTGAGTTTTTTCAAATGGCCCGTGATAGCCAGATAATTTTGGCAGGCTTGAAGAGTATGTTATTTGAACCGAAGAGCAGGGTCGAGAAAGATTTCAAGTCAGCGAGTGTGACTATTTGGAGTTATGTGTGTGTGCGTGTTTATTGTGCTACTTGAGTCTATGACTATCTAGCATATTGGGCTCCTCTCTAACCTAGGCCACACCTTTTATGGTCCTCCTATCCTCTTTTGTTACTTGAAAGATCATTGATATATTCCCCTTGATGAATAGCCATTCAGCTCAGTATTTGCCCGTGGAATTCGGCCACCTTTTCCACGGAACTTTCTACCCGAAAAAAAATGGTTGCAATGGAAACTGCGTGCGCGGGAAAAACTCTCAAAAAACCTGCAGCCCCAGCCAGGCGAGGCCTGGACACCAGGACCACATGATGTGCGCATATCCATCTATATCTCCCTTCTTTGTAACTTTCGAGGCCCGTTTGAGCAGATCCGCCATCTCCGTATCGGGTGCTGGGTACGCTCCAGAAACTTATCGGATGGCTTTTCCTCCATGATCAAGGGTTGGTGATATGTAGGGCTCCGACCCTACCATCTGATCTGATCGTGGTTAGCTTCATGATAATGGTGATAAGGAGATGTGTTGAGAGATGAAGACGATACAGACCGCGAAAGCGATCGGGAATCCTCGTCGAAGTGAGGACTTTGTCACTCAATCTCGGCTCTGCAGACTCTACAGTGAGAGCCAGAGGTTCTTAGGGGACACCACTAATAGGTGCTGAGAATAGTCCCGCTATTTGGAGTTATATTTGTTCCTTCAATATCATGAGCAGGCTTCAGTGGCGAGCCTCGCTTTCAGTTAAAGTATTGCAGCTCAGCCTTAGAAAGTTTAGTTAATTAGACCCTTGTTACTACGGATGGGAGTTATCTCAGGATAATGAGGAAGTAAAAGCAAAAGAGTGGAAACTTTCGAAGGGTAACGTACCTTGTGTAGAAAATACATGGTATGACGTACATGTGCAGAATGAAATATGAAAATCAGCTGACTAAGCAGAATATCCTGAAGCCTATGAACCGCTTAGGAAGATCATGTGATTTAACTCTCTCAGCTGGTATGAGCAGATAGAAATTCTACCTGTAGACATTTGCACATGCAAAAATAAACAAATAATTATACTACAGCTTTAAACGTTTCATTGAAGAAATAATGTTAGCCTGTAGAATATCAACAGGTGTACATAGAGGTACTTGATTATTAATTTGATGCAATTATGCTTCTTTTTCTAGGTTAGACTATATAGCACCATGAAAATAGTGACTTAATTGTGGATTCATGCCATGCGAAAGAAGCCTCAGTTTCAAATAGCCTAAAATTGTTCCTCTTCGGCTCAATGGGAAGGTATCTCATCCACCATACACCCAAAGCTGATATCATTAGAGCTTGATAACTTCTTGTTCCAATAAAAAGCTGGTGGTACAAAAAGGATCTCAGTTGTACTAATTTCTTTTGGGGGAAGTAATGTGAAGTATTCCATGTACTCCAAATATCGTGTTCGTAGTGACATGTCCCTTTTAATTTCAAGCTAGTCGAGGTCAATATATTTTTCACAAAAGGCTGTAATTTTTGAGATTTGAAGTTTAACAACCAAATAATATCCTTTTGCTCGAAGAAGTCTGGGATAAATAAATAAAATTTATTTATCCTAGCTAAGTATTGTACGTCTAGTCACACCAGAGTTATTATAAAGTTTTTTCCTAGAAAAGCTGAAGCCATTAATTTTGATATCTTTGAAGTGACAGCGAATCAACGTTTATTTGTTTTGTAGCTTTGAGCTTTTAATAACTGTATTCTGATACGATCTGAGTCAGGAATTCAGCTGAATCAGTTTCAACTAGAGAGAACACTTGCCCAATTATGGATCCACTCATATAAATACCTCAGTTTGTTTGAAGATCATAGAGTCTAATAAAAATCCTTGAGATGAGTTAAACTCTCATGACTTTATTGATACAGTGTAGAGTTGTCCGAAGGTAAAATTTTTTATATGCCTTCATTGGATAAATAATTGGTTTGATCGTATAGTTTTTTGGTTGGCGAGTTAGCCGTACCACAAGTATGAGAAAATAATACATGGTTCAAAATTATAAAGCTTCATACATTCAAGCCGGCCTGTGTGCATATTTTAGATTGTGAGCAGTCCGATACGACATTGAGAGTTTTTTTGGTTCCAAGCTTTCAAGCTACGTTAAGTTGGCCGATAAATCTCTATCGGATTTATTGCCTGGTTATTTGATTGTTAGGAAGTGACACCGGTGTTGCTGATTAAAGCCAAAGCCTAGGTCATTTTAAGATAACTACCGGTATGTTTGGTAACGTCCAATATACCTATGCAAGCAGCATGGAGAGTTATTTTCTCTTGTCTATGATTGTTGTAAAGGGTGTAGTAGCTAAAATTTTCAACGGCCAAGATGATCTTTGATGATTTTGCAGCTTGTGCTCGAATCATAACCTATTATTCCTGTGAGGTATTCTTGCCTAGTTCTCCTGTTAAATAATGATATGTATGTAGAAGTTGAAATATCCTTACATTGCTTGGCTAGCAAGTACTTTCCGCCTCATTAGGTTTTTTTTCTGAATATCATTCCATATTATAGCATGTTCTTCTCGACATATACTTTTCACAGTGATGTGAAAGGATCCAGTCACTGGTCTGTGGTCTGATAACCGGATCTCATGACGCCGATAATCAATTTGTTCTAAGCGGTGGCCACCACGATGAAGTATTCGATCGCACCACGCTGGGGAACGTTTTTTTTCGCTTGAATCATAATTATCTGTCCCAACGTCATACTTATACGTGGGTGCAAAATTTATGGGAAGCTCTTGGAATGCACGAAGTTTAAACCACGGATTTTTTCTCTTTGAAGCTAAAAGCTGATCTCTTTCCAATAATTTACTGATATTCTTGGACTTTACGGCACTTATGACGGTATCTCTGCTCATGGTATCGATGCGATAATTAAGATCTCCATTTAAGATGCAAATTTCATGATCTAATATCATTGTACCGTCGCCTCCACCTACATAGCAATCCTGACGTGCGTTACGATTTGTTTCCATGGGTAGAATAGGCGTCTCGAGTATGGCAGTAATATCGGCATTACGATCTTTAGTACCCATTTGGCCAGCTGCAAGGTGACAATTAATAAAACACATTGATGTATCATCCACGATAAATCTGATTACTAATGCTCCCTACCAAAATTAGTAAATACACATGAAAAAATTTGAATTACCGACTTTATTTCCATGTAGACCACCCAAACCTCTTTTAACTTCAGCTGCACTTAAGCCTCGGATCCTCTGGAGTAACGGAGCTCGGACAAAAATACAAGTAAAAAGACCAACAAGGCTAGAAGTGTGTAAGAGGTGATAAAGCTCGTCGCTTGGCATGTTATCATCTAAGCAGCGAGTTAAATAGTCTCTCCAATCGCGATACTGATGGCTCATATGCTCTTGAACTTGTGGATCTTTTTTCTTCGATTTAAAAAAGCTCTTGGTTACGGTCTTTTTATTCTCAAGATCAACTAGCTCTTGAAACCCAAATACAATGATATCGGGACAACCACTACTGTGTATAAGATCTCGAAAAAAACTGGCGTCTTGGTTATGTTGCTGAAGGTCATAGGGCGTTGATGCGCCTGCATTCCATGTCATTATTAGTGCGTTAATCTTTTTCAGCTGACAGAATTCAGCTTCCTTGTGGCGCAACTGGGATTCTGTAGAGCTGTTAGAACAGATAAATTAATGACACGAGCTTAATACCCATCCAGTCATCTTCTAAAAGACCATCCCAGATTCGGAGCGTATTATCTTGCCCGAGAGTAATAATTTGTGCACGATCAAGCGACCAGAAGCTACTTGAATCTGACACCAGCTTAATGATTGGGCCGTGATGCGCTGGCCAGTCTTTCTTAACAGTCCAAGGTGACTGTTCAACATCGTATATGTATATCATACCAGTATTGAAGCCAGCCCATAGGTTACCTCCAACGCTAGCTAGAGCTGTAATTTTATATAAACTAATATTGACAACACCTAAACAAGTGTAGTCTTGTATTGAATATAAACTAACTTTACCATCCGCGTGACCGAAAAAGATTTTGTTGGCTTGAGAGCTAGTGGTCGTGCCTGAAGTTATAACACCGGTATTAGGCTGGCAAAGCGGGCGCTGAAGTGTCTGAAGCTGTGTAGATCCATCTACCGTTGGCGTAAATACTCTAATTTCTTTTCCCGTAGCATACCACAATTTATTACCCACGATCATAGAAAATGTATGTCCTTTGGGAAGCCGGAAAACTTGTGAAGCATTATTCAAGCTAAGAGAGTTGTTGGAGTCTGCAGCCCATAGGTGCAATGTCCCGTTATCGTCAAGAGTCCACATATCATGGTAGTGTCGATAAATTCTGATAACTTCGTGGCGGGTATGAGCACTACTTCTAGTTCTAATTAGACTTTGGGACGATATATCGACCTCTAAAATATCCCCAACGTTATTGCCAAGCCATAATTGAGAACCTTCATCTTCTAAGTGGACGGCGGGCTTAAAAGCGACGGATGTGATTTTGATTCCTTCAGTATGCGCAAAGCTTGCAATTATCTCACCGTTTTGCAAGCTCCAGACTCTAGTAATATGACCAGAAGTGCAAACATATTCACCACAAACATCCATTATTCTGGTCTCATATTTGGTAGGTATATCTCGAACTCCTCTTCTCAGGTAGGGAGGCCGACGATTTGAAAACGATGAGTCCGGAAACTGACTTACTATTGGATTCAGAGGCTTACTAACATCAGGGTTATTACTTGTCAGTTGACGATATGGCTGTGATTTTTCAGAATTGAATGACAGATTTACTTCCGTCTCGCAAGTACGGTTAGTGGTTAGGGGGCGCTCATGTAATCTTGAGCCAATATTTGTACTAATAGGTGTCCTCGGTTTCAGGCTAGCTGTTTGTATTGAATGAATTCTTGATGCGTCTGACTGGAGTGTAGACCTAGTGGGTAGAACAGGCTTCTCGATGGCCAAGGTATAATTTTTGCTGCGGTCTTTTGATACAGTTTCCATAGTATTATCTTCCACCTTATTACTAATAATTAATTGTTTGGCACTATGGTTAGCATAATCTACGGGTGTTTCCTTTAAGTTGTTGCAGCCAGGTTTCCGGTCACGGGTTGGTTTTGATTGAAATTCATCTTCGGGATTACAGTCGCTCGGAGGTGTGTTGAAGGGTGACATGGATTGGTTTGTTTGACGTATTTGAGGTGATTTAAATGATAAATGATCATTTCGGAAAGTTAGAGGGGGGGGCCTGCCAGTTATCCTCGGTTTGTCCGCTCGATTTATTGGGGGAGGACGTCTGCATTCATTGGACTTTCTCGGCGGAGGTGGTGATGGAGGGTTGAGTGTTGACTTTGGAACAATCCCATTAGGCTCAAGTGTAGATGTGTTAGACCTAGCAGACTTTGGAAGCTTTCGAGAAGAGAGGGGTGAAGGAGTTAGGGATTGATAGGCTATTGATGGGTGTGCTGGATTAGCCGGCATTGAAATATTTGAAATATTGTTATTTGCAGATGCTCTTGATGGCATGAGATTGATACTGACGATGGGAGAATTCATCGTAGAACTTTGTTGTAGCATTCGTGAGGATGGATTTGGATTACTCTCGGATTCCGTCAGGGCGTCCGAGTAATCATTCATTCCCTGCCCCCATTGACTTTCTGTTGTCTCCGGATAAGATCCATTAAGAAAATTATAATTTCTTTGTCTACATGATCTAGGTGTGGGAAGCTCCTTATATTTAGATGTGTTTTCTGTATTTTGATTGGGCGTAGAGGGACCGAGTTTTGGATCTGATTTAGCCATTTGCTCGAAGTGTGAGCGTAATGACGATACTGGTTTCTAACACATAAGGATCAATAAAATAGAGCGGTATCTGTATAAGAGATCTCACGATTGAAGAGCCATCAAGGCTAACTTTTGCTGTTTGGTCTACCATGGCTAGGGCTAGAAGAGTCAGGTAAAAGCTTCATCTGTTCACCGACGTGTGATCCATGCGGCAGCTCGAATTTCGGCACAATCCTGAAATAATCTAGGTATTTGATAGTCTCTGAATAAGTCCACAGGTAGGTCGTGGGTGCCTTAGTATTGATAGATTTTGGACTGAAAGTAGTGCATATTAAACTTTGACAAATAAGTGTTGCGCATAGATCTTATGATGTCAGCCTTGTATTAAAATTTAATTTGATATTATTTTGATTGAAATAAATCGCTTGTGCGGTTTGAAGCATGGAATAGAAGGAACGTGGAAAAGTCTTGTGAACAAAATGTTAATACGGTTGGCATAGATTTTCGACTTCCTTAACTAGCGGAATTTGCCGGAGTACATAGCACTTTCGAACCTACACCTATCCAATCGTATATGTAAGGTTATACACAGCCTCCTGTACAAAACTGTGCAGTAAATTTTCAACTTTCACCCCATAGTTTTTAACTTATGATGTCATTTTTGATTGATGAACACCGTAAGCCCTTCCTACATGTTCTAAAGTATCACTGGAGAACCTGACCAAAATAGGGATAAATAAAGTCATTGAATACATTAAAAATACAAAAATATCAACCAGAAGATGGCGCCATGAGAGAATAGAGGAAGTACCTCAGAATTAATATTAAGTAATCGCCAACTACAATTGTGGGTTATGAAGGCAAATGGGAGGCTTGAAAGGTAAGCAAATGCAGAAATGCATATAAAACACATAAAGGGCTTGACCCTCAGTATCTTTAAGAACAAATTTTAGCACATGTCAAAATTAAATTTCTCAAATGTAACTAGAATCTTTAGTTAGATTAACGAAGTCCTCCATAGTCTTAGACTCAGTAAGGACTACGATAAAAATATAAACTAATCTACAGGAGAACCTCAAAATTTTGTAGGACAAATCTACACCTAACTTTTTGCTATTTTTATGGTAAGCTAATGCAATATCTACACAGCATACTTTTAAGATGGGAGAGGAACCTTAAATCCAGCAAAATATACGTGAGACATAGAGAATCTAACTTCGATAATAAAATTGAGATTTACTGGGAGACGAGAAATGAAAAACTGTCAGCAGTGTCCTCTATGAACCTGGGAGTGAAATATTCTTCCAGAGCCAATTTCAGTCGAACGTCGCAATGTCAAAGAAGTTGGCTCACTAGGCAGTGGTTAAATATACACCACCATGGTATTCTTTCACTCCAACGAAATCGATTTCTACTTGAGCCTCATCAAATCTTTAAGTTGGACCTAGTACATCCTCATTCCAATGACCACACCTCTCGTCGACTTTCTCTGGCCTTTTCTGGCCACAAAATACATGCCCACGCCGATATTTTACCCGACGAATGAAACAAATCGTGATGCACAAACCTAGGAGACAGTTCATTGGGATGGAGATTTTTTTGCATCAGATTTTAATTGTGTATTACGCTATCTAGCTATGACATAATATCAAAGAAAATTACATAGAAGATGACTCAATAGAAAGGAAGAGCACTCATGCCTGACATTTCATTTGCAAGTACCACTGCAAAGTTATGGTGGCTTTTTCTCCGTTACGGGTCAACCCTAATCCGTGAATACCCACTCAGAGGAACATCTCAAAACCCCTGAGTTATCCAGTTATGCCTCCATCATCTTTCAACTTTTCTCCGCGCGAAATATGGTCTTAGGCGTCTCCTTCCAAAGTGGAGTAGATGCCTAGGAAACTCAGACTACATCAGACACCACCAAGAGACGGACCGCGGCGCATTCCCTCGTTGGCATGTGTTTATAGTGCCAGCTGCACTTTCACAAGGGAAGTCTTGGCGCGCACAAAGCTCAATTCGTAAAACTTGCCAAAATTCAAAATCATACGCCCGTCGAGACTGTATCCATCCTTTGCATCATCTTGTAAACTTGTCCCGATTCCTCACTCGTCCATCTCAAAGAACTTTACCCCACATTTGTGCACAATGCTTTGTTTCCTATGGCGGATGTATGTATCGGCGTGGACGTATATCGGGTGGAAGTCTGAGGCCGAAGAAAGTCGACGAGAGGTGTAGTCATTGAACTGAAGATGTACCAATTATTACTCGTAAATTTGATGATTTCTTGGTGGGAACTGACGTCGTTGGTAGTGAATAAATGACATGGAGTATTTTGAATCATTGCCTCGTGAGCCAACATCCTTGGCATTGCGAAATTTGACGGAACTTGACTGAGGGAGTATACTTAGCTCATAGGTTCGTAGCACACCACGGATGGGCGTTCAGACGTTGCCCTCCAGGAAAATTGGTAAGTCTGATTGATGATGCGACGTGTACATGGAGAGGCTTAATACCCTCTCTCGATAGAGTGATAAAGCTGACATTATCCAAATCTCCCTTCCGTATTCTTGAGACCGATTAGCTCAGATAGGAGCGATGGTAGCTAGTACGAAAGCCAATTGCAATTAGTATCGAATGAAAACAACACTTCATTCCACTCTGATGTCGCTTCATAATTTGTGGTGTAGAATAACCTCGTAAACATACCTCTAATGGGAGACTATTCTCAACACCTTTCAGTGGTGTATGCGAACCTCCAGCTCTCGCTGAAGAGTTTGCAGAGCCGAGATTGAGTAAGAAAGTCCTCACTTCGACGAGGATTCCCGATCGCTTTCGCGGTCTGTATCGTCTTCATCTCTCAACACATTCCCCTATCACCATTATCATGAAGCTAACCACGATCAGATTAGATGGTAGGGTCGGAGCTCTACTCATCACCAACCCTTGATCATGGAGGAAAAGCCATCCGATGAGTTTCCGGAGCGTACCCAGCACCTGATACGGAGATGGTGGATTGGATCAAGTCGGCCTCGACTGTTACAAAGAAGGGAGATATAGATGGATATGTGCACCTCATGTGGCACCTGTGTTTAAGCCCTAAAGGACTGGAGCTGCAGGTTTTTTGAGAGTTTTTCCCGCGCACGCGGTTTCCATTGCTAACATTTTATATTTATTGGTTTGAAGGTTCCGTGGAAAAGGTTGCTGAATTCCAAGGGTAAACACTGAGCTGAATGGCTATTCATTACGAGCAATATATTAATGAACTTTCAAGTAACAAAAGAGGCAAGGATCACTATACGGTGTGGCCTGGGTTAGAGAGCAGCCCAATATGCTAGATAGTCATAGACTCAAGTAGTACAATGAACACACACACACTAGGCGTTTGAGGGTTTTCTCTTCACATATCATCTTCTTAAAATTTTACACACGTTAAACCTCTTTCTTTGAGAAGGCAATAACAAGCCTACTCAATAATCCTATCCAATTTTCCTTTCGTTTCCCACGGTACTTACAAGTAAATTTCCCGAAATTATCTGTGAGAACATGTAGGTCCCCTCTTTCCACGCACAGGGATACCATCCACTCAATTGGAGTCTATTGAGCAGCACAACCTCCTAATGACTTACTGTCATTTGATAGATCACATAAGTGACAAACGAAATGGAATGCATTTTTGCCTGTGGGGCCGCTCGGAAGACTCTCAAAAGCCACTGCATGCAGGCATCCTCCAATACTCACGCCAGAAACACTTCCAAAGACACGACCACTTCTTCCGGAATACTGGAAGGGGCCAGAAGGCCTGGCGCTGTAGGATTTTGTGTGGCTACGAGAAGCACTCTCGACGTTATGGTCGCGAGATGAAAAGAGAATGGTTCAAATTTCAGTCTTGATAGGGCATTTGTGCTACAACGTAGCCCAGCCTATTTTCATTTTGCCTTTTTGAGTACTGGGGATTCCGTAGGGCTATAGGTACTTAAAGCCCAAATGGCTGGTTTGGTCCTCGAACTTGGATCTGAAAGCTCTGCGGTAAGAAGCGGATGGTCAATAGAGACACCGTTTAGAAGTATTGATTCTTCATATTCCTTCAGTAGATAATATTTTGCCTCGCGTAGTACGCAGGAAATTTAGCATCTCTGAGCGATCTTCAGAGGACGCCTCGTAATCGTTCTGGTTAGGTAGCGAGCAAAATAACCCCAAATTACTTCCTAAGCTATCAATACTCCGGAAGTTACAGTCGATACAATTTAGAGACATTAGGCCACATCTCTGCAAACATGAGGGAGAGGAATTTGGCCGATCCTGCACTCATAATTCATTTTTAATCTAGGAATAGTATTGTGTCCATCATCTTTTACATTTAAAAATTACTCTCGTAGTATACAGCAATTACAACGGGGTTTGAAATCCGAAACATGGTCCAGCTATTCTGAAATAGTTCCATCCCAATCCCACCCAGTGGCCCGGCCCTGGTTAGTATAATTCCCGTAACAAGCATATTGATAATTCGCCATGGCCGAGGCATTCTGCTGGCTTGTCATAAAATCATCCAAAGCGCACAGCCCGTCAATTCGGCTGCTCTTGTCATCACCACACGCGCCTCCACGGATTGTGTCTAATGGTATAATGCCATTATTTAATCTCATACGTACAAATTTGTATTTAGCTAAAGATTTCTCGTAGCCGTATTGTTCTGGTGTGTATTGAACCTGTGCGCTCTTGCGCGGCTTTGGGTTGGGTGAGGTGCAGCCGATTGTCTCGGTAACTAGGCGGCTGCCAAAAGGCACAATTTTCGAGAGTATAAATTTACGGTTTGGGTCGGATGAGATTTGGGTTAAATTAGGAGGTGCATGGAAATAGTCTATTGACAAGGCGGAGAGAACCGATGTGATAACAGTGTCATGAGTAAAGTCGGCATAAAAGGTTTGGTTTACTGGAAAGGTTTTTGGGTCGCTATTTAGCGTTGCATTAACTGAAGTAGAAGAGCTTGTCATCTGGGTGTTATTTAGGCGGGCCAAAAGTTCCTCGACATAGCCGATACCTTGAGCGCGACCAGTTGGATGACCGTAAGAAAATTTGTAGTAGACTATTGATCAGTATCATGTGACTAACGGAGGGAAAGGCGATACATACATTGCATTTCTAGGCTGTTCTCAAATCCAGTCCACTCATCTTCTGTAAAAAAACCACAAAATTCTGATGCTCCCATGAGTGCATTCTCGTAGGCACAAATCATCTGCATGGCAAATGTGTCATTAACGGTCAGTGGAAAATCTGCTGGTACAAAAGATTTGAGTCTTTCGGTGGCGGGACCTAGGTAACTAGAGACAAACTCATAAAGCATCTGGTTGGTGGAAGCCTTCATAGTCGGGTTTCCGCAATTCGAACAGCTTACATATGAAGCCAGTGTATTATTCTGTTTGCCGCCATTTTCTTCTGGGATAATGACTACCTCGAATGCTTTAGCCGTGTCATTTAGAGCTGGATTTGGCACGGGTGAAAAGCTGGGCCCGAAGAAGCCGAGGGCCCAGTTAATCTGGGTGTTATGCATCCGCGATTGCTCAGTAGTCCTCAGAACTATGGGCTGACGTGGTGTGCCATCAGCATAGGAACCGTTGTAGGCTAATTGACCAACGCTTGCATTGTACAATGTTCTTCCGTACCTGCGATAATTTAGTCGTAAAAAGGATTGAATATTTCAGTCCCGACTCACCGGTTCCAGAACTCAACCCCAGCATTAAACTCGGCCGAGGCACCAATGCCAGTTAACAGGCCATTACTGAGTATGACTGGATTCCACGAATTCATAAATCGGAGGGGACCAGTGAACAGATCTTTTGGATGGGTTGAAGTGAAGTTTGTGACCTTTTCACTGAAACGTTGATTATTTCTGCCATCGTTTATGCCCTTGGTTGGAAATCTTTCTGCGTGGCGTTGGAGGGTATGAGCAGATTCCTGGAGTAAATTAGTATGTATTGGTAACTACCTCTTGTCAGATGTTACAAACAATTTGGCAGCCGGCAGGAAGTCCGACATATTCGACACCAAAGTCATCATCTCGATTGTTTGCGTAAGGGCTAAGATGTCCCCAATTCCTAGATATCTTGTTGATATCAGTTACCACTCGAGCCACATCGGCTCTGGTAGTGACCACGCCAGTCAGTAGAATAGAAAAGAATGTAACAGAGTGCATATTGTGGGAGTTATAAAAGATTGATTAAACTTCCTGGCTCCCAAAACCAGAGCAGCACTTCATGCTCTATATACATTTCGACCATTTCTCTTTGGCATACCAAGACGTCTACCTTACCGCTTTAGAAGGATTGTCGACTTTTGAAATTGCGCCCATTAATTTGGTTAATGGCGTTATCCAGTCTACATAATTACGTATCTCCGCCGGTTATTTTGTAGGCATAAGATAGCGAGTAAGTTGTGAGCAGAGCTTGATTACAAGATTTGCAACTAGCGTAAAGCCAATACCAAGGGCATTTGTTGATAAATCTCCATGTTTCTTGTCAGTCACATTTGGTATGGGGATAAGAAATTCAGTAGTCAGGCCATGGTCAAAGTTTAGCAGCGGATAACTGAAATAATGTAAACATGAGGCATTGATATCTCGGTGGAGATGAGATGATCCACTTCATTGTAATGAATTGAGTTCTAAATGACTCAGTGCTGCAGACTTGGACGGAATTCTAGAACTTTGACATACTATCGTCTTCAGGCTATAGGAGAGTTATTTTGTTGACAGAATAGCTTGATTTGGTAGACGACGTGCATTTTTTTATCATGTCTTTAGTTGTGATATTATATCAATGCTTACCTTCCTCGGTCTATGGCGATATAAGATATGTAGGACCTTCCATTGATAGACCAATGATACCAATGCCTCCCCAAAAACTCCCATCCAAAAGTTCCACTTCTTACAAGTCCTTATTTGATTGGGTAAGAGGTGTCTATCGGCCTTCATTATCTTCCCTCTCCTATCAACGAAACGATAGCCATCTACGGAGTGTGGCAGCCAGGAAAAATCGCGAAATCCACTTACAATGAGGCCCTTCTAAGCCTGGCATGGGAATTATTTCTGGACACGTAGCTTTGGAAGCATCGTGCGATAAAATGACGGCATTATCGTCAGAAATGAAGGATTAGCTGATTAAATGCCGTTATCAGACAACTTCAAGAGAGAGGGTTGTTCGCTGTATTGCAAGCATTACCGACGCAGACCCCAAGCGACAATATCAGCGATGGTGGCACAATCTTGGTATTGGTTGGTTAACTGGTTATTGTTGCGTTACTTGAGTCATTCCGTATCTAGCACGTTGGGCTCCTCATAGATCCAAGACATACCTTGTCCGTTGCAATTATTATGATTCTTCACGAAAGAGTATCTCCATCCAGCTCGGTATTTGTCCTTAGATTGCTTTTCTTTTCTACGGAACCTTCTACGCAAAAAAATAAAAATCGTGGCAATGGAAACTGCGTGCACGGCAAAAAGTCTCAAAAAAACATGCGACTCCAGCCAGGCGAGGCCGAGAGACCGGGACCACATGAGGTGCGCATATTCATCTAAATCTTCCTTCTTTGTAACGTTAAAGATCAACTTGATTCAATTCAACATCTCCGTATCGGGTGCTAGGTACGCTCTGGGAACTTATCGGATGGGTTTTCTTCCGTGATCAATAAAAGTGGGTGGATGGTAGGTAGGGCTTCGACCACAACTTCTGATCGGATGGTGGTAAGATTTATGGTAACGGAGCTGGGATAATATGCCTAAAGGTGGAGGCGACACAGACCGCGAGAGCGATTGTAAATTGTCGTTGAAATGGGGACAAGGGTGTTACTCAGTCTCAGCTCTGAAGATTCCACGATGAGAGCTAGGGGTTTGTAGGGTAAGATAGTCATGAGTGCTCACTGTTCGCTTCTCCCCTTCACTTCAATTTAAATTCTTATTTAGTGTCTTACCCGGTTCCCTTTCACGGGGCCTCAAAGTCGAATGGCCGTATTATTTGGTGAAACTTCTCTACGTCAAAATCCATTCAACTGCCCCAGCTTGCTACTCGGAGTGCCAATCCATCATCAACATGATTAGTTTCCATTTTTATACTTGCTCTGACGAAAAGTACAGTCTCAAACAAGCCATGGAATTAATCCGAGGACCGGTGTTTAGTCGAACAACAGGTTGCCATGGTGTCTAGCAATGGTTCCCGCGTTGCTACTAAATAAGTGTTAATTCCCTGGCCGAAACCTTCCATCCGCTTTGATGCAGAGCCAGTGAAGCCGAACGAAAATTCATATTAAAACCTGCTCCATTCGTTCACATCCATTATGGAGCTATCAAGCAACCAGCTCATCGCACAAGTGACCCGGTAGATTAAGATTAAAACGAGCATAGGAAATTATGATTGGTATTGAGTCAGCATTGTTCATCCTGAGATCTCTTCCGCGAGCATACCTATCCCAACGATCTTCCAAATACTGTCCGTTAAGCCGGTAAATGAGCCTAGAGCAGTCTACAAACCCAAGCACAAAGCGAGGACATGAGGCTCAACTCGTATTTATTTAGAAAGTACCGGGAGTCTACGGCCCAAGCTGTCCATGTGGATACCAATCGCAGGCTGGATTTACTGACTGAATTAAACAAGTACCAGTTACAGAATTCCAATCACTCTATTATGTCCTAACTGCGATAGTTAAATAGTAGGAGAGAAATTTGGAGACAAGCCAACAATCGGTCCTTCGAAGCAATGATAAATGATCCTTGCATTATCTAAAGACTTGCACCGTGGATCCTAAATCATGATTGGATAGAGCAAATCCAGATGACAAAGGTGGTCGAAATGCTGGCGAGGGAAAGAATTAGGACGAGCAATTCTTGATGTCAGTAGTGTTCTGTTGGTGATAGCCGAGAATACGCTGCACAAGGAAAGTCATCGCTGGGAGCGAGGCAGAAATATTTCAGGCGATTACATGATGAGTAGACGAATAGGGGAACATTGCATGGATTTTTATCCTAATTAGTACCACTAGTTGGATGAAACAAGAATACTCGGTGATAATGTTTCGGGAAAACAGCTCGAGTCTAGCTATCCCACATTTGTATATAGCAAGCCTTCTCTACCAACCAGATATACCTCGTTAGGGAGATCAAGGTATTAGTAGTTTCAGTTGATTTATCGTTTATCATACGAAGCCTTTAGCCAATAAATCCACCGTGAGCTCTGACCTATACAACAAAGAGAGGGCATATGATTGGAAGAGGAAGATTCCACAGCTATCGGTGATGTCCACGACAGGATACCTGCTCCCACTGTAAAGCCTACAAAGACGAGATTGAGTATCACCTTCGTCCCCACTTCGATGGGGAAACCAAGACGCCCACGTGGTCTGTATCATCTTCATCTCTCGGTAAATTCCCTTTCCCGCCATAATCGTGAAACTAGTCACCATCAAATACAATAAAAGGGTCGAAGCCCTATACATCAGCCGCTCCTGGTCATGGATAAGCCATCCCATGAGTTTGCGGAGCGTACCGAGCACCCAAGACGACTATGGTAAATTCGATCAAGTCGACCTCCAATATTTTAAAATAAGGAGATATGGATGGATCTTTGCAACTCGTGTGGCTGCGGTGTCTAGGCCTTGCCTGGCTAGCTCTGCGTATTTTTTGGGAATAATTTTTTTGGGTAGAAGGCTCAGTGGAGAGTATGGTGAATTATATGGGTAAATACTGATCTTAGTGCGACAAAATTCATATCATAAAAGCCCATTAGTTCACTTAATGTTAAGAGAGTAATCTTGTAAGTATCTCGAACAATTTTCCAGAAGGGTGGGTGTTAATGGTTATTCATGTTATTTGTTAAATTGTAAGAAGGGTTGGTCAAACATAATCTTCCCTACAATTTAACATAATGGAGTTAGGGTTGTGGTTATTGGTTGCCTAGGAGTTAAAAAGGGTAAGGCGTCTGTTGATTTTATATACCCTGTATTAGTAGTTTCATATTAGCGTGTGGATGAGACTAGGAGCGATAGATTAGAGGGTGCGAGATCGCGATACTTCTATTAAGCGTGTAGACGTAGAGACGAAGACACACGCAACGATTTAACCCTATACTTTATCAAATCTACTTCCAAATATTCCAGTAACAGTACTACTGTATTACCCGTCTAGAGGAATCATATTCTAACATTATTCATTTTACAATGATGCTACACCATTTCCCTCTACCTAACCCATGGATAAACTATTATCCGAATGCTACAGCCCACAAATTAAACGAACTAACCGCCGTAATGCAACAGACACCGTTTCCAAATAACTCCAGATAGATAAATCAGACCGACAACTGAGCTGAAGGACTATCCATCATGTGAATTACGTCAGAGATATTTGTTCGTAATTAACAAGAATAGGAACATAGTAGAAGGTGTTACCAGGTTCAAAGAGGAGCCTAACGTGCTAGATAGTCATTGACTCAGGTAGTAAATTGAAACCAAACAAATGTCTGGAGAGACATCGTGATTAAGACATTGATCTCATTTCTATATTATTTTCCGTTCTCATTCTAAGGCTATGCAGGGAATGTAAGTTCTCTCTGTATAAAGACCAAGGTTATCTATCTAGTTGTATGTCCCCTCCTATCCCTCTCATACAGCTCCCCTCACAAGTCTCATTTGATCCTGCAATAAGAGGAGCCTTTGCCATTCTTTATCTTCTCACAAGCCAAAGTATCGAAGGCTATTTACAGGTGTATGGCAGCCGAGAAAAAATGCAAAATCGCTGAGTACGAGGCTCTTCTAGTACCGACATCAGGACTAGATCCAAAGATATAGTGACCCTTCGGAGGCGTTCGACGAGGTCAGCCAGCTGGGCGCTATGAGCTTGTGGATACCCCAAGAAATTCATACTCTGCTTTTCTAGCCTCATTCCAATCCTTTCACGAAGGTTGTGCTGAGAAGTCGGAAAAATCTTCACAGAGTTTGATTGCTGAATAGTAGCTTAGCCAAACTTCTTTTATGGCAGTCCTTCATAGTCATAGACTCAATAGGGACTTAAATTTAATTATATTCTATTCTTTTATGGCGTCTTGGGAGCTGATGCGTGCCATGGTCTCATAAACAATAAAAGTAATCCTGGCTAATATCAGAAAACATAGTATTGGCAGACATAGACGTCTCAAAACAGAAAATCTGTCAAAAACGACAGTCTTGACACGCCCAATAGAGACCTCTCTCGTTCTAAGTCCAAGCTGTTTTTCCCCCGCACGAGGTAGAGCAACAGTCCTCCGTAAACAAAGACCTGAACATTGTATATATTGACTTGGTATTCTCCTCGTGGGTATACATTATACTATAATTTTGTAGCTGGTAGCTGATGAGGCAAGCTGCTGTTTGCAATTATAGAAAGGCCTTTATCGGTACTTGAGACGAGGTGGTGTGTTGTAAGGTTAAGGTAGAGGACTCCCGTGAGAATTAGCCGATTATAGATGGCTTGTATTTGCTTCTGACTTTGATCCGGATGCAATTTTTCTTGGCTACTCCACATGTGAAGAGTATATTAAGTGATTGCATCGGGACAACTGAAAGGTGAAGAATTCGACTTTGCCGGCGTATTTTCATATTCTAACTGTTAATTCTATTTGCGCATTGTTAATATCCGATTAGTATAGCCAGGCACATGACCGCACCAACACTGAGATCTCCAAATTCTACTTTGTAGAATAGCCTGGATGACATACCTCTACACCCTCTAACTTTGTCGGTATCTGAAGTGTCACCTGCACTCTCGCAGTCAAAGTCGTCGAGCACAAAATACTCTTAAATTCGCAAAATCTCACCCCCTTTGAAATTGTATCTATGTCTTGCATCATTTTTTCCACTCGTCCTGATATATTTCATATCCATTCCCAATACATGCCACTCAGATTTGCGCATAACAATGTGTCTCTTGTAGCGGCTAGGGAAATCGTTCTGGGCGTGTACATCGAGGCTAGAGACTAATTTGACGTGTGACGTGGTCATTTAAATAAGGATGTACGACGCTCTAGTACTAATTTAGGAGGTTAGGAGTGAAAAATCGATGCGGTAGATGGTGTTTAGTCGTTGCATCGTGGGCAGACATCTTCGGTGTTGTCTAGAGGCAGAGAGGACCTGTACGTCCTAAATAGTCATAGACTCAGAAAGAACTGTAAAATGAATTAAAAAAAACATCTTCGGTGTTGCGAAGTTTGACTGAAGTTGGCTCTGGGAGAGTATGCTCCGAGCTCGCTCGTCGTGGACACTGCGGGCGGGTGTATGGTCTTTATCCTCCATCCTAGATGTTGATACCTGCACCCTAAGAAGTAAAACATTTGTTCTTGATTGGGAGCGTACGTAGGCACTGAAGGCGAAGCGATAGAATTTGAGCTTTAATTAGACACCGTCTAGAAGAAGTCAGCAGGCTACAGAGGCAAAGCAGTGAGCCCCAGTTTTGTCCAGTCTAATATTACACACCGAATTCAAACCCTGGGACCCTTCGCCGCTCACTCATTCACGTACTTCAAAGTAATTTGATTTACAAAGTCAATAAATGTGGTGTCCGTAAATTCAAAATCATGATTGCTTTGGGTGCCAAAAACAAGCGGAGAAACTGTATTTTGAAGTGTCGTGCGTTCGCAGCTCAAACATGCTAAGTCCCCGGGAAGGTATGAGTCCGCTTTTTAGTATACGAAGAAATTCGAGCACCGGTTTCACGAGACCAGATGAACCTTTTAGTGCTTCTTTAGGGAGACTTTGACTATCTCTCTGACGACACAACGGACCCTCGGAATTCGGGGTGATGTGATGTTTTTTGTTGTACTACTTGAGTCGAAGACTATCTAGCACATTGGGCTCCTCTCCGACCCAGGCTACACCTTGTACAGCGCTCCTGACCTCTTCTGATACTTAATAGATCATTAATATATTGCCCGTGATGAATAGCCATTCAGCTCAGTGTTTACCCGTGGAATTAGGCCACCTTTTCCACGGATCCTTCTACCCAGAAAGAAATCGGAATTTGGGGTATTGACATGTAACCAGAGGATAAATTCTTGCGTGTGTATTTTCATACGAAGCAGCTTAGAACGAGCTTTAAAGCTACACCTAATGCAACGTAGCCAATCTAACAATAATAACAATGATTTTTCCTCTCGGGAAAACCTAATTTTCCCAAGTAATAGGACGCATTAACAGAAAATTAGGATGATGAAGGAAATACTAGTCTTCAGGATGGGTTGGGAAAGTGTTTGAGGTATAAAATTTGCAATTGTTGTGCTTGGATCGGTGGTGGTCTAGAAATTTGACACAAAGGCGATTTATAATTTTTACTCTCTACTTCAAAGCCGTATTAAGATCGAAATGATTGGAAAACAGCGAACCATTATTTCTCCAACTTACACCATGTTTCCCGTATCAAGAGATTAGCTGTGGTCTGCGCCACTTTTGATTTACATTTCTACTTTGTAATATCCAGCCCTTCAGCACAGTGGCACAAATCCTCCATCTAATGAATCATCCTCATTAAGTTTATTGTTGTTGGCCTTAACTATCCAATTGAAGTCATCAGCCTCAAGAATTTACATCGTAATATGTTGAAATTTTATTAAAGAGCGTCTCTGATGCGTGATTAATAGCAGTCATGGCCGTAATCCTTGACGAATCTCATTATTTAGGATTTATAACCAGCGTAATGTTCGTTGGATTGGTCCATGGTGTGCAAAAAGAAATTTGGAGACTACGAAGTCTCTTCATTTTATGACCGAATCGAGAGAAAAAGTCAGGCTAATTTATGATAAACTAGAAGATGTAAACTTTTTGCTCTGGTCATTGGACGGCAACAATCATCAGTGTATATTTTCGGGAATCTAAGTTCTTGAAAACTTTGCTCATTCCTAAAAAGCTTCGCATCTTAAATATTCATGTCTGAGGATTTTGATTAGCAAACAACTTTGTATCTGGATTGATATTCAAGTTTACTGGAAGGATTTATGAAAACTTCTATGGTAAAGCCAACGTCGTGAGCATGAGAGTATAATGGATCCACTGAGACGAACCGTGGACTTAGATGTGCAGATAGATTTGAAACACAACTCAAAAATTACCTGTCAGCTATACAAGTAATGATTACAAGGCTGTCTAGCTGCATAATATTGTGGCATCTGCATGCTCACCCCTCGGCTCTAATATTCGCTACCAAGATTCTAGAGGGAAAAGGAAGCCAGGAAGTTTGATTCCATGGTACCAGTAAATTTAGGTAGATTTTAGTGGAGGCATGTAAGAGATCGGAGATTGAATCAGCACTCCAGCTTGATTTTTGCTTCCAAGAGAACTGCTAAGAGTATCATGTACAAGCTACGTAGAGAAGATATTTTTACTCGGTTCATGGATTATCAGGGACCATCCCATTATTATGAATATGCGACAGGCCCCTAGTTTTCACCGCTTCTTCAATAGTTTTAAACATCTTAACCCTGCGTATTCGAACTGGACGAGACTTCAGTGTTTCGAAACCCTAACCCAGAATGCTTTACATGACAGGAGCGTGTACTTTGTAGCGATACTTGAGCCAATGCTATGAGGCATGACCATCAAGATCAACTGGCATTTAATTGCTATATTTCTTTTGAATGTTTAACGAGTGATAAAAGGAACTAATGAGTTATATCCTTAAATAGCATTTCCTTGTCTAGGACTGAGTAGAGATTCAAATTTAAAACAATCAAATGAACCAGTTCCATGAATAGTCACAACAGAAAAATCTTGGGATGAAGTGGCGACTAATATTAAGTTATTATCTAGGCTTATGTATACTAATTGCCAAACATTAATCAAATTTCATGTATTGAAAAGAATTTATTTTCGTATATTCATCTCTCATTTTCAGTTTATATGACTGAGCCCAACACTCCCCATTGTTTCAATGACCAGACCGGACTGGGTATCCATCCTAAACGCCTTGCAGAATAATTAAAATTTTCAGAAATTAGATAGCAGTTAATTGATAATTCCAGATCATAGATATTTAGATACTCTCCTCAATCAGCTTCTTTTGATACCCAAAACGACAATGCTATTCCTCTTCTTTCTGACTTGGGGCTCTTGAGGATAGGAGTATGTGGAATTGATATATTCTCTATCGTATCAGAATTGTTTTCGTTGCTGGCACCAATATTGGACAATGATTTCTCGGTATCCGAGGCTATGATTCTTGGAGGGGTTTTAGTTCTATGACATAATTTACTGGCCCCCGTTCCTGTTGGGTAACCGAGACTTAGTTTTACCACACTTGTATTCCTAATATTCCGAGAAACGCGTTTCCAAGCAGCGACCGCTGATCGTCCTGGCGACTTTGAAGCAACACTTGAGCCGTTTTCAGATGGTGGTTTAGATGAATCTATGTATGGCAATATCATTTGTAATTCTTTATCTACAGACCGTTCTGGTATTGATAGCGAAGGAGATAGGGACGGTGTTTGATTCGAGGGCTCATAATGAGCAATAAATTCAGGAGTCTCAGATGAGCGTAGCAAGCCTTCATGTGTAAGATTAAAAACGAAAGAACTAGTTTGTGTGTGTGGCGTTGCGATATGTGTAGGTGACGTAGAATGTGCATAGTTCCTGGTGTGATAGATAGATTTTCGTGAGTCGAGGAGAGAGGATGTGTGTAAATCTGATACTGAGGATCTCTTTGAAGAAGTATTCGATGATGCTACTGTAAGACTTGGTGAAGTTTCGGCGGATGAATTGTTTATCTCTACAATTTGTGGCTTGCCAGCCACGCGAAACGATATAGCTCTAGCGATGACTTCCTGCGAGCACTGATTTATATGTTCACAAGATATAGGAATGGGATCGACGTCTGAGTCATCCAATTCAAAAAGTGAGCTTTCATCGTAGTCTGAAATTGAGGCATCTTCCTCACTTGAGAGGTAGACTTCATGTGGATCCGTGACTTGTAACGAAGACGATGTGAGAGATATATTCCCCTTATTCAGTTCAAGGATATTAAATTCCAGAGATGCGGCTCTAAACCTCATTGCAGGCCTTTTATTGCTGCGAGGCGGTACAGTAGGGGTACCGAGTGACGTCTGCGGCCTTGATGTTGGAAAGATTGATGGCTCTCTATCACTATTGCCGAATCCAGTGATTTCTGAGAAGGTGCTATCTTGTCCGTTTGTATCAGTGACTGTAAGTTTTGAAGAATAGATGGCCGATGTATCAGCAAGCTGGCTCCTCTCCTGTTTTGATTTCCTTAATAGAAGCATTTTGCGGTTCCTTACTCTGAGATGGAGGTTGATGTTGCTTATTATGATCCAGCGTAATAGCTTTCTTAGTTACTAGCAACTAGGGATAGATGATCCAAGAGAAATGAGCTTTCTTATGATGATAACATTAAGATCTGTGAGCTTAGATCGTTAGCATAGACTTTGATTAAAGATCTATTGCTTGTGAAGTGCTGCGGTGCAATGCGCCAGAATGAATGTGGCCGGAATCGATGAACGACGTGATCTTGAAGGAATGTGGTTGATCTTTAAAAGGATGATCTCTCATACCTTCAAGAGCGAAGACAGAGCATATTATTGCCTGAATCGTGTCAGACCAGTTGCGGTTTGTTGCAAGTGTTCCAACTTGCAGATTTCTCCTGTCACATCTAACCGGTCAAGGAGGCTAATCCCTAAGACCCAAGATTAAGATCTGTCAGGATGAGGGGACGTGCACTGCCACAGCATAGCTGATTCATACGAAGCTTCGATTAGCCCGGCATTCGTGCATGAAAAGTATGTTCTTGAGCTTTCGAGTTTGATTGAGGCCGCCGCATACGTTGCAAGCGAGAGACATCAATAAGCCATTGCGCCCACCTAAGACGAAATAGGCGAACGCCTACGACCGTGGCAGGGGCTGAGGCGGGGAAACTGAATGAAACAGGAAGGTATGAATGGCAATTTCGGCATTCTCTCGCTCTTTCATAACGTTAGCTTCATCAAGGGCTGGGATCCCCGGGATTCTCTGTACGGGCCAATCAGAGCTGTCATTTGACACCCCGTAATATTAGGGGAGCCGGGCCTCGACAATCCATGTTAGAATCATCTTTCCCTTTGCTCATCGTCTGTAGTTTCACCTACATCATCATCATCGTTAGTATCATCATTTATCTTTCCATGATTATCACCTTCACTTGTATAGCTTGATTATTTGAATTCAACCAGGCTTGGTTCTTGGCGTTTTTTGCATGACACCGCAACCCTCTTGACCAGCGCTGGGGCACTTATTTACAATCTATCTAACATAATGTGCTCCATCATTACACCCAATTCTCCGGACCAGCCCCTCTATGGACCAACCTCTCCACCAGCCCTTGAAACCAAACAGGAGAAAATAAAATCGCCACTACCAAGAATTCCCCCTCAGCCTAATAGACAAATTTCCTTAGTTTGTGCATGCAGGTCGTAGAGGATAAATTTTCCAAACCCGTCTAGATTAATCTGAAACCACGCTGGTCTCTGCGGGCCATTTTAGATGAGGCGCGGTAATCCATTTCCCCCAGCTCATTGGCTTACTAATCGCTGTCAAGCATACAGAGGCCAAACAAAGACAAATGAAGGCCATATACCTGCTGGACGGATGGTGATCGCCACACTACTCCCACCTTTCACTGGTAGTTCACACAAGGAGAGCCCGCATTGGTTTGCCACGACTCGTATTCACCATATTTAGCATTTCGGTCCCACACCAACGCCGATTTCACGAATGACCACGGCTTGCATGATGAAAATGGTAAAACGGCTGCCGAAAGCAATCTGATGGGCGTGGATGGGTGGCGTGCGGTTAGTCCGGTGGGCGGAATCATGCTTTCAGGGTTTGGCCGACAGCGCCACCACTATTACGCGTGGCGCCCAGTCGGTCCAGCAAATCTAGCATTGCTTGGAGTTATGACCCGAAGTACGGCTCTCTGCTAAAGCTACGTACAAGTCGTGTACTTGAATCATGGTAAAGCATGAGCCAGGGCTGACGTTATGCTTAGGTGTTGTGTAGTAAAATTAGAGTGACATTTTTGTAAAAACTCGGCCAAATCGGCGGCGACTCATGATGAGTAGCACGACGACATATCGTTGCAGACCAACCGTGGTTTAGATGGCGTTCAGGAAGAAAAGAGCGAGTAGGATTATTGATTATTACCACCACCCCATGAGCTCGTTTTGAATCCGTACGAATCTTAGCTAGTCCGCAATAGACACCAATGCACTCGATGTACGATAAAACAATAGGGTTGTGTGAAACAGAAATGCATTGATTTCAACTTTCCTTTAGACATGAGAATGAAGATCAGTCGAACCCTTGAGAAGATTGCAGCACACATTTCACTGGTAGTAAGAGTTTTGTACTTGGAAAATTCTGCGGCACGCTCATGAGAATATGGCCGCATGTCGCCTGCATTAGAGAAGAACTACACGCTTAGAAAAAGGAACGGCATACTCTCGACAGGCATAGGTAGCTACCTAGCCATTGGTGCCTGTTTATGAAAGCTGCCTGCGAACATGGCTTCACGGTAGAACTGATAGTCTAGCCGCGTTTGCCATAGTGCATGCAAGCATAAGCCACACATTCTTGAAAACTCACAAGAGAATACGCGGATTTTAATTTTTGAGACCAAAGATGTGCTCTAGGCCCACCGCAAAGTAATAGGTAGAATTGTGATTTTACTGTGTCATGTTGAGTAGACTGATTCACGACTCGACACTAGTGCCGGTATGAGAGAACTTATCTGCATTGTTTACATTGCAGATCCTGACCTACAGCGATCTACCACGACGCGAATTTAGCGAAGATGCTCCAATCACCCCACAAGGTCCAAACAGTCTTGGGACCATCTCAAGAGTGTCATCCAGCATCCCTACTCATCTTGCTTCTAGCCTCCCGGGTCGCTGAACTCTCTTGATTCAATGTACAGCCTACCGCCACAATGGTAATGAGGGATTCAAACCTGACTCACCTGCGACACAGAGAATACTCGGCTCAGTTGCAGTCTCTAATTTGAGCGGATGTATTAAAAGGTAGCCCGGCCCCGACACTTATGGTTTGACCCTCGGCGATCGAGTAGCGGCGCTTCACAAATTACATATCAATGACGCTAATTATGGGCGAACAACGAGCAAACATGCGTCAGAGTTCAGCTCGTGATTTGGATGTGCGACTCCACCCAAATATTGCTCGCAGACTCTATAAGTTGCGAGGAAGATGCATTTGATGCGGATAACTGAGGGACGTGACCGACGGGCTTCAGGTATCAGAGCGGATCCATCCGTGATCAAATCAGAGAGTTTTTTTGCACGATGAGCTCTGCAAGTCCCCTAGCAAATGAAAGTCTCTCAAATGCAATAGAGACAACGGATGAAAAAGAATCCGAGGCCGAGGACCGAGAGATATGGTAGAGACTCAGGCATGACTGTGTGTTTAGTAGCTATGAAAAAGCTAGGGTCAACTGACAAGAAGACTATGGCATGTGTCCCGCGAAGCTATGAATCAGGGACTGTTTCATTCCTGTGAATTTGGTCTCGGGCTTTGTTGCTGACCGACTACCCACTTGCCGTCCTTTAAACGGTGCACACCAAGTGCGCATCTGGGGAGTGAACCCCTTCAGGTCCGTTAGTCTCTAATTGAAAGTACCAGTCCATGAAAAGCTCACGAAACTTAAATGATGTGGCATTAAGTTGGCCGAGTCTGCGATGCCATATTCCACAATCGGCCTCGATAGAATAAATTTCTCATGAAAACCTGGGCCACTCTCGAACAAAGCTCTCTAATTCTAGGGACGCCAAACCGTCTGTGTTGGCACAAAAAGATTTTTAGTGCCGATGTAGACGGTGGCGGGGCATTGGGTATGAACATCTCGAAAGAGCTGCAGTCTTGTCTGTATTGAATGTGATGAAGTTTGCAGGCTCACATCGCAGCGCAGATAGGCGCCTTGGCTCCATTACACAGGCCATACTGGGGGCTACCCGCTTTGATCGGCCCCGGCGGTGAGACATTAAGCTAGAACACAGTGTGTTCCACCATTGAGTCCATGTACCAGCGCTGTTCGGGGAAATCTGATAGGATCTGAATTTGCACAAGTCTCCCAAGCGCCGTGGAGGGGACTTGACAATGGGATCAGTCTGAGTCACTTTCAATGAAAAACATGAGGCCTCCATTCGGCCTATTGATTGCTGAGAGTAGAGTGAAAACATCACCTCGCATATTTATCGAGCCCATTCAGATATTTCGGCAGGTCGGGGTTTGCCTGTCAACTCAGCGTACTTGGTAACCCCACGTTTGAGGACAAGAGGCCCTTAATAGTTATTTGTAGCCTGAGTGTGCCGCTAGTACTTTTTTACTTTCCCTTAGCTCGCGCTGCCCTTGGGACTGTCCCGCTAATTCATTGATGTCTGCAAGAGCACTGAGAAGCTGCCTCCGAACACGAGTTTTCTTACTGCTAACTGAAGATTGTGTAATAAATCTGACAAGGCAAATGAGGAGAGATTTTCTAGCGCCAGAGCTCGCCGACGATGCTCGAGCCTGTAGCGACGCCGACGGACAATGTGCTCTCACCTCGGATGGGCCTCGTAAGTCGCTCAGAATCAAGTAGCCTGTGGTTACTTGGCCAGTAGCGCGGGCCCACGGCGTCTCCTTGATACAGGGACCATCGTTGTAAACAGGGTCTGGGATATGGATTAGGACAGCAGAAAACACAGGCCTTGTCCAGTCCGATTTGGAGGCGCCCCGGTCATATCGGACTCCAGGAAAAGTTTAGAGGCCGCGTGTGCACCAGAGGTTTGGTTCGTTTGATGGGGACGAGGTATGTAGCTATGTGACATAGATCCGATGCCGTGTCTGACAGGCCATAAAATGTCATTAAAGTGCCTCCACATGCCGTAGCGCTCTTAATGTATTTAGTTGTCAAGTGACCGCACCGCGCACCCTGACACCAGCGTGAGCGGTCGAGAAGGCGAGTTGGTCTCGAGCTCAGATTAGGGCCTGACTCTCGCAAAATGCGCAATGGCTGGCTTCACTAGATGTCTGGCCAAGTCTGAGCGGTGAGGGAACTCTAGATATCGAGAGATTCCCTCAAAACGACGTCTTTTTTTAAATCAGTGAGTATGTGCATTCTGCCTAGCTATGACACTACTCCGGACGACGTCATGCCGTCGCGGGAAGCTAATGTATGATTGTAGACGGGCAAAAGCCGAGTCGTTAACTAAGACCAGACCCGTTACCAAGAGGTCGTTTATGGCCGGTGATGACTCATCCTAGTCATAGGTGGTAGGTAATGATCTATTCAGTCACTATGAATGTCAGGAACTAGAGGAGGGGTTTCACAATTGGGCCTGGTTAGAATCGATTGAGTGAGACCAACCCTCTGCCATCCCTTGACGCCGAAGATGATGTCCGCCCTGCGAATGGAGAAGCCCCCAAGCAGCCGAGATATCACTTCGAGTCTCGTCACCCGCATGCTGGCTATGGCTTAGCCATTAGTCTCAAAGCTTCAGACGAAGGGAGGAGGCGTAGACAACTAGGACTCAACGCATATTGTCCCAGGGGTGCTCGCTTAGATCGGAGATTTTAAATTTCCGTGCTCCGACCAAATAGCCAGGGATCGTGGTAAGAGAACTGGAATCAAGCATGGCGCATCAAGGGTAGCGCCTCAGCACGCGAGACTATTTCAGACTGAACTGTAGGCCGACGGCGTGTCCGGCACCCGCGTTGTTGACGGGCCTTCATCGCGGCGGCAAAGAAGGGGGGCCTAGCCACTTCTGCCATCAGGCGTGTCAGCACTCCGCCAGTCTGGTCTATCGCCTGCATTTGGCGCTGGGCCTGAATGCAGGCGAGAAGCCCGCGGGGCCTGCGTGGTGTGGATTGCGTCATGCGTGCCCTGTAGCGTTCCCGCCGCCGCTAAATATAGCATATGATGGGAAGGAGCTCTCGGCTCGCTGCACTACTTTTGCCATAGTGGCAGAGCGAGGCGGAGTCACTGCGGCGCCGTTCCATTTGCTAGCTGCTGCCCACAATTTCTACCGAAACGAACGAGAAGCGGAAGGCCCGATATGAATCCCTGCGCGTCCTGTTCATAGCCGAGCCGATGGTGGTGATGGAGACTAGTGATCCACTTCTTCGTCCAACCAGCCTCACGATGCTGTGCCGGTTGCTGCAGACATGCCCGATGTCCACGATATTGCCGCCCTCACAATCTAGCAGCCAGTCGCCATCTTGATCCTCTGTCCGCAGGCGCAACATCCCTTCCCATGCGACCGGAGAAGAGGAATTGAAGTGGCCAGTCACCGCTCAACTTTTGCCCCCGATGAACGCCGTCGAGACTCGGAATCATCGCACCTGCAACAACATTGTCAGGTCATGCAGACTCATCCCGGTACGGGGCTCCCTGGATACAAACCTTGGACCAAATGGACTTGCCTCTAGCTCATGTAGGTCGACTTGCATTTCGCAAATACTCTCTGGCGCCAGGGCCTCATGCTATGGGAGAGGGCCGAATATTCTCTCAATAGCACTGCCTTTAATTGCTTGCAAGACTAAATATTCTGAAGGTTTTTTAGGGGCTTAACAATGAAGTCCCAGGTCTTATCGCTCACGAGGCGTATTCCAGGTTCAGGTTGGTAGGCTACTGTCAACAACAGACGCCTTCTCGAATCTTAAACAGACCATTTAAGCTTCGATCTCTCTAC